AGGAGCTGCGGCTGCGCGAGCTGGAGGAGGCGCGCGCCCGCGCCGCCCAGATGGAGAAGACCATGCGCTGGTGGTCGGACTGCACGGCCAACTGGCGGGAGAAGTGGAGCAAGGTGCGGGCGGAGCGCAACAAGGCGCGCGAGGAGGTGCGCGCGCTGCGGCACAAGCTGGAGGCGCTCACCAAGGAGCTGACGGGCCTCAAGCGCGAGCGCCAGGACGTGCTCAGCGAGAACGAGCAGCTGGGCAAGGAGGTGGCGCGCCTCAAGGGCCAGGACAAGGGCGCGGACACCCGGGTGGCCTCCGAGAGGGAGAGCGAGGCYGCCCCCGAGCAGGAGCCTGTGCGCGACGTGGGCTCCGACAAGCTGCCCAAAGGCAAGGTGAGGAGGCGGCGGGACGGCGCRTGCTGCCTTTGGGTGCTCCTGCCAGCAGTGGGTGGGTGGGAGGAGAGGCACCGACCTCTCGCTCCTCGGCGACAGCTCGGGAGAGGGCGCGGGCACCCATCCATCCTTGCCAGAACTGCTTGGGTGGCTGCAGGCAGCTGCGCCGCTCCGGCCCGTGCAGTGCCACTACCGGCCTCCACTGAGCTCTCGTGGTCCTGAGCCAGCATCACCCACYGCCGTCCCAGCCCAGCAGAGACCGGGTTGGAGGGGCGTTTGAGGAGGAGAGCAAGGTCGCTGTGACACAGCTGAAATATCTCCAAGTGGGACCAGTTCCTAGGGGCAGACCCTTCCTGGAGCAGCATGSTGGGGCCCAGCCCTGCTTGGAGCAGCGTGGTAGGGTCAGACTGCTCTTAGAGCAGGAGGTTGCTCCATGCAGTGCTGCCATGGCAGGGATGGACCCCGTGGAGCAGCGCGGTGGGGTCAAACCCCTCTTGGAGCAGCAGAACCAGCCCAGGGTTCCTGTAGCCTGGGTTTAGCAAGATCGCCTGGCTACCAGGCGAGGTCTATTCTGTGGGACTTCATATTTGGCAGCATTGAACATTTTAGAAGCAAATTCAGTGTTTGCACACAGGGAGCAGTGGCTGTGGGAGAGAGGATGTCATGTCCCCGGAGCAGCACRTGCTGCTGGGGGGGTTCGGCAGACATCTGTGCAGAAGGAGCATAACTCAGGAAGGAGGAGAAATCAGAGCCACCCCGAGAAGAACTGCAGGTCCTTGGGTAGCCAGCTGTCTCCTATGGGCAATCATTCCTTGGAGAATTGCCCTGACTCCTGAAGTAGATGGAGGAGTAGATGGTGCCTGTGAGCAGACCTCACTGAATGCAGTAATTCCTACTCAGAACATGGGATTCCGGCTGTAAGTTCCCRAAAAGGCTGGCCCGGGGCTGGGCGATGCTGGGCAGCCTGGCATGGTGTTGCAGGCACTGCCCTAGACCCAGCTGCATCCCTATCCAGCGTTTCTGGAGCACAGCCTCTTGTCCTGCACGACCTCACAGCCTCCACGGCAGGAGTCTCAGATGGGTTCCTCTGCTGCAGAGACTGGTGCAGTTTTTGCTTGGAAACATCTTTCTCTGCTTGTGCTTCACCAGCATCCTCCTGTTTCGCATGCCAGTGCCACGCCAGAAGAGGCTGAGATGTCTCCATATGCCCCATACACATCTGACTCACTAGGCTGAGACCTCTGAAACTCTTTACAGCCCAGCAGGTCAAAGGAATCATAGTCAGAGGACTAGACATCTCATCACTCAAAAAAAAAAGAAAAAAACATCCTAAGGACAGATCTAAATTCTGCCTTACGAGGGCGCAGGCTGGCTCTTCCTTGTGCCGTTTACCCAACACAACATGGGAGATCCCATGTCCATGAGGGACATGGCCAAGGAGGCCCATCCCTCACTGGAAAGTCTTGGTGGCATCAGATTTGAACACAGACAGTAAATACAGTCAGGAGCTCTGTGGTCCCATAGCATCATCAACCCAAGCGTAGACCCTGCTGCCTCCTGCTGGGCTTTTGTCTGAGGTTCTCGTCCAAGGAGAGGGAAAAAATACCTCCTCGGTGGGCCCGTGGCTCCTCCGGACGATGGGCTGCAGTGGCAGAAGAGCGTTGCAGCCCGGCAAGGCTTTGCAGCCCCAGAACCTCCCGCGTTCAAGCCCAGCTAGTTTTCAGCCGGTTGAACCAAAGAGGTTTCTCTTGGCTGCTGCGCGGGAGCTTTGGTCTTCAAGCGAATGCTGGCGCTCTGCGTCTCGGCTCCGGCAGGACCTGGCCGGGAAGAAAGGCCCGGTGGCCCCGCGCTGGCCGGCGCCCGCCGAGGGGACAGCGGCAGCCGCCTCTCCTGCTGCTGCGCTCAGCCGAGAGGCCCCTTCTCCCCTGACTTGGCCCCGGCAAGGAGCAGCCCTCACACAGCGATCTGGAGGCAGAACTGTGTCCACTCCCCCTGTGGAGCTGCCCTGTTTCGTTTCGTTTTGTTTTTATGGATTTTATGGGGGAAAAAAAAAAAAAAAAAAAAGCCCAAGCAGGCGAATATTGAGTGCGTTTTGTGCAGTGGGGTAATTTGCCCCACGCTCCTCAAGTCTCATAGTTAAAGATGAACCTGTGCAGTCACACTGGGATTGGATTAATAAATCTGTAGTATCTCCCCATGGATTTAACAGTGTGTAGTCCAAGCAGGAGGCTGAGGCTGACGGCAGAAGATGGGGTTGTCTATACGGGGAGACAGCCAAGAGGAAAGGGGTTCCACAGGTGGGGCAGAAGGTCCCCTAGACTTGCCCATGGGGTGGCTTGGCCCAGTGACGTTYCCTCGTGGCCGCTGGTGGTGGTGGGTGCTGGGACATGTCCGTTGGCCAGGCTGGGGTCAGAGGGTGCTCATCTCTTTCTGTGTGACCTTCCTCCTGCTTGGCCACCCCATGTCACTGCAGGAGTTTGAGCTGATGGAAAACGTCCTGAAGAGCAAACAGGACGGGTCGGAGTGCTGGGAGCAGCGGAGCGCCGTGAGCGTCCGGACTTCCTTCACCCGCCCCGAGAGGAACCGCCTGCTCTGGGAGGACGTGAGCGTCATTGAGGAGGACGCCACCAAAGTGACCGCCCTGAAGCTGAGGCTGGACGAGTCCCAGAAAGTGCTGCTCAAGGAGCGGGAGTGAGTGTCCTGGGGCATGGGGATTTACCCTCGTGGGGTACGAGCCCTCCTCACGGGGATGGGCTGGGACGGGGGTCCCGTGGGCCCTCACATGGGGCCGTGTCTCTGCAGGGACAAGCTGGCGCTCAGCAAGAGCATTGAGAAGTTGGAGGGTGAGCTGAGCCAGTGGAAAATCAAGTATGAGGAGCTGAACAAGAGCAAGCAGGAGGTGATGAAGCAGGTGAGCCGAGGGTCTGGCACGCTGCGTGCTGTGGCCAGGTGGCCCTSTCCCCAGGGGCATGGGGACCCTTGGCTTCAGCTCCACGAGGGGGCACTCCTGCTCCAGGCAAGCCGCCCTTGCCCTAGGCGCGCATTGATTAAATGGCTTAAATAGACCCATTGATCCAGCTCTGATTAGTCAGTCCATCCTCCCCGGACGCTTGGAGATGKCTGGCCCCGCTACAGGTGGCAGCTCTGGAGTGGTCGAGAGGGGCCATGTTCAAAACCCAAAGCCTCCCCAAACCGGGTGGGGAGCAACTGGCAAAGCGGGACCTGCATTTGAGCCTCCCTGGCTGGGAGTGCTGCCCTCTGGCATAGTGCCACTTCCACAGCTGAACATCCTGAAGGAGATCCACCAGGACGAGCTGGGACGCATCTCAGAGGACCTCGAAGACGAGCTGGGCGCCCGCTCCAGCATGGACAAGAAGCTGGCAGAGCTGCGCACGGAGGTGAGGGGGGCTGCGGGTCACGGCAGCACGGAGAGCGGGATGGGGCCCTCACCAAGGCGGGGGGCAGCGGCYGGCTGAGCTGGAGCAAGGGCTGCAAGGAGCTCTTTCTGTCAAGGGGCTGGTTGGGACAGCAGTGGCCACAGTGGGAAGGGAGGTGCTGGGAGGGCTTAGCAGCAGAGGGGAGTCCCCGCCGTTACRCCAGGGGACACCCAAGGCAGCCAGGGCCAGGGGTCTGAGCACAAGGGATGTCCCCCTGCCCAGATGGAGCGGCTGCAGGCGGAGAATGCGGCCGAGTGGGGCAAGCGGGAGCGCCTGGAGACCGAGAAGCTCAACCTGGAGCGGGAGAACAAGAAGCTGCGGGCGCAGATCGAGGACCTGGAGGAGGTGYTGGCCCGCAAGCGGCGCCAGGCGGCCAGCGCCCTGGACACTGACCTCAAAACCATCCAGGCCGAGCTCTTCGAGAAGAACAAGGTGGGATGCGGACACGTCCGCTGCCTGGGGAGCCCTGCGTCACTCTTAACGTTGTCTCTCCTAATGATGGGTGTGGGTGGTACTCCAGGACACGCAGGCTCCACTTCCTCTCTTCATGAGGAGGGTGACAGTGCCCCTGTCTTGGAGCCCACTAGTAGCCTCCATCACAGCGCCCCCATGGCAGCGGGAGGGCTCTGGGGAGAGGGCAAGGGGCTGGTGCCCAGAGGGTGCGCAGGCCGGGGTGCTGTGCCCGCTCAGCGCTTGCCCCGCAGGAGCTGGCCGACCTGAAACATGTGCACACGAAGCTGAAGAAGCAGTACCAGGAGAAGATGGCTGAGCTGGCCCATGCCGTCCGCCGCGTGGAGCAGCATGAGGCCGAGGTGAAGAAGCTGCGCTTGAGAGTGGAGGAGCTGAAGAAGGAGCTGGCCCAGGCCGAGGACGAGGTGAGGCTCCCTTGCTCTTTACGCTAGCAACAGGGCAGAAAGCTCCTACCTTAGAGCTGTCACCGCAGCACTCTCCAAAGTGCAGTCCAGCTGGAGCTGGAAAAGCTGCCCTGGCAAAGGAGGTGCCAAGCTCTACCAGGAGAAGAGCATTAAAAATGCAGACTGGCAGATGGTCCAGCACTTGCCTCACCCAGGTCATAGGCRCCAATCTCAGCCGGCTCCGAGGAGTAGCTGGAAGCTGAGCTCAGCTTGTGCTGTTCCGGAGGCAGGTTGCTCTCGGGGGAGGGACTGAGAATTGTGGCCGCTGGGGAGCTCTGCCCTCTCCTCGTGGCCAAAGACAACCCCGTTCCCCTGTGTCCCGCAGCTGGACGAGGCCCACAACCAGACGCGGAAGCTGCAGCGGTCGCTGGATGAGCAGACGGAGCAGAGCGAGAACTTCCAGGTGCAGCTGGAGCACCTGCAGTCCCGGTGAGTGGGGAAGCCAAAGGATGGGATGGGGCTCTCTTTGCTACCAGCCTCTCTCCAGGCCAAACAGAAATGCGGTGTTTGCAGGGGGTCAGGGACCTCTAGACCCCCCGGGTCTTCAAGGCTCAGGTCCTTCAGCCCAGTTGAAGCTGGTACAGCCGGGCTCTTAGACTGCTTTTCTTAAGGGCTGGGCCTGGACTTTGCCCAGTCYGTGCTGGGTGCAGGCTCCGAGCACCCCCGAGGCGTTGGGAACGCGTGCTGAGCGCCCAGCAGCACCGTGCGCAGCAGCCCCGGGGGCGAGGGGCTGCACTGCAGCCCGGGGGGGATTCATCCCATGGAGCTGGGAGAGGTCCCTCGTGCGTGATAAAGAGCCGCTGGGCAGCTCTTCCCGGAGGGCGAGTTCACCTAAGTGATCCCAGCACCGGCGGGGGGCCGGCCGCGGAGCAGGGAGCCTTGACGGGCACGGCTGCCAGGCGAGCGCTTTAGCACCGCGCCGTGATGGATCGCAGCGCTCGCCGGGCCCGGCCTCGCTCCAGGCGCTGCCGCTGCTCGCCACACCTTGAGGAGCCTTTCGTGCCTCTCCATCCCCATCCCGGGGCGGCAGGAACCTCCCGAGCCRAACCGGGCCGCCTGCCCCAAAGGGCCGCGGGTTTCATTGCTCTTCAAAACTCCCGGCGCCCTCTCTTTGCTTCGCCAGCAACACGGAGCTGAAATGGCTGCAAGAGGAATCGATTCGCCACCGGAGTGTCTCCGGGAGGCACTTTTGTTCTTATTTATTTATTTATTWTTAATTTATTTCATTGGGACATCTCCATTAAATCAGAAGGAGTAATGGAGGTTTCATCCTCTCCCATGCCCGCCCCGCTCCAGCCTCCCTGCRCGCCTGCTCTAAATAATTCATGTTTTCCGGGAAAATGCAGCAGACGCRGCCGCCGAGACGCAGGCTGACGGCAGAACCGTTTTCTTCACCATTTTGGGGGCCCCTGATTTCAAATTTGCCTCATGAATTTAGCTGATGAATTTGTACACAAGGGAAAAGCGCGTAGGGAGAAACACGCAGCGCTTCCCCTTGGTGGGGAGGCCGTGAGCTGGCGCCGGAGTCCGGAGCCTCCGGTGCCCCTGACGCAGCCCTCCCAGCACCGGAGGCCTCCYGTGGGCCCTGCCAGGGCCACCAGCCCGTGGGTGGTGGCTGCCGGTGCCGGAGCGCCGAGGTTGGCCCTGGTAGCTGCGCTGGGACCGCGTGCGGGCGCATTCCCGCGGCAGAGCATCCTCCGGGCTCGGCGGATCGGCCCGTGCCRTGACGCAGGGCAGGCCGGGGTGCTCGGCTGGAGAAGTCACTGGTAGGGCCAGGAGGCCATGGGGGAAGCAGAGGCCCCGCTTTGCCGATAAACGGCACCCTGGGGCATTGGGGTCCCAGCAAGAGCCTGCTGAGCTCCACTCGGGCTGGGCGAGGGGCCACGTTCGGCTTTATCAGCAGGTAACACCCAYGCGGTGCCTGAAATGTGAACTCGGAGGAGGGTGAGGGACCCCGGCCTTCCTCCCACGCGCCGAGATGGCGGGGACAGGCGGCTGAGGCAGGCCGGGCGTGCGAGACGCTCTCCCCCCTGCAGGCTGCGGCGGCAGCAGAACCCGCCRCTCTTCGGCAAGATGCGCAGCGCCCGCTTCGGCCCCGACGACCCGGGAGACGGCACCAGYGACCCGGACGAGGACGAGGACCTGCAGATCCAGGTTCCCTAGGAGCCCGGGGCCGGCCGAGAGGCAGGCGCCCGAGCGGTGCCYGCGGTGCCTCTCCCGACAAGTGCCTGGCGCCGCGGGGCTCAGCCCGAACCAGGGCCACCCAGCCTCGACGGCCCTTTGCCACGAGCGGGCGACGTCTGGCCACGCGGCGTCTGCCTCGCGCCTGGGGAAACTGAGGCACAGAGCGGCGCAAGGGACTCGGCTGGGCTGAGAGCCCCCAGCCCAGCACCTCTGCCTCCTGGGCAGCCCATCTGTGCCTGGACACCAAAAGCAGCAGCATCCGAGCAGGCCAAGAGGACAAAACCCGGCTCAGAGCTAACTTGGGCCCTGGAGCTGGCTGGGCTCAGCCCACCTACTTTATATATAGATATGTTATATATATGTATGTATTTGTATATTTTTTTTATTATAAATACAGAAGTGAGAGGGTTCCAAGCGCTTGTGATGGTGTGGGCTGTCCCCACCGCTCCGAGAGCGCCCGGGAGCAGAGGTGCCCATGGCGGGGGGACGGGCAGCCCAGCAAGCGGGTTTGGGAGCAAYTCAGACGCAACCTTATTAAAAATTAATATTTTGGTGAGCTAATCGCCTCGCTTGGCCTTTTAATTGATTGCCTAAAAGCACGGCTCTTTGCCGCTCGCCATTTTGAGCATCTTTTTCTTCCGACGTGGATGTTAGTGCTTTTTTATGGCCAAACAAATCAGCAGGGTGTGTGTGGCAGGGGGAAGTGCCCACTGGCAGTTTCAGTGGTCACAAATGTGCTCACCTCAGAAAAGAACCCRAAATAGTTTGGGGGGGCAGGGGAAGTGTCACGTTGTAGCCCAGCATGCCACTTTTTGGGGTGCTGAGCCCATGCGGGGCACCCCACCCCAGCCTGCAGGCAGCAGCGCCGGGAGAGGCCGGCCTCTTTTGCCACTTGCCGTGAGGCGTTCACTCTGAAGCTGAACGATGCCGGCCCGCGCCTCCAGGAAGCTGCCGGGAGAGGCTGGGCACTGAGGGCCGGGCCAGGAATGCGGCGGGGCGGCCGCTACCCGCCCCCTGCCCCGGGGCCGCCCGTCCCGTCCCGTCCCGACCCG